CACTCAGATCAAGGCAATCCAGTAAAAGCATGGGTGAGCATAACAACTCTGCATTAGATCATGGATGCAATCTTTGTTTATATGGTTCTTGTGTTTAGTTTCGTAATTTTCTCGTGTTGACAAATATCATATATCACCCCTCCGGTGGCGGGGGGGGGTATGAGATTGACAACTTGTCAAAAATGATTCATCACCTCATGTAAAAGAAGGGAGCCCTTTAAAATTTAAGTCTCCAAGGTCCCGCCCATTGAAAATTTTTCGGCCCCAAATGTGCAGGGCTTACTACTGATACGCAACAAGAAGTTGACGACAAAAGTAAAAGTAACGTTTGCTTTTTGTGATTCGGCGGCAAAATGTATGGAGCGATTCAATCACATAATCCTCGGGAAAAATTTCCGTGTGAAAAGACTACAGCCTACGCAGGACGCAAAGAGGAAAATCATAGCAAATCTGGAGCAAAATCTGCCGCTTCCGTCAAGCGAGAATGGCTCTGTGCCAAAGTATCATATTACGCTACCTGCGGGTTTGACAAATAAAATTTTCGTAATCGGTCCTTGTCTGTATCCTGATAAAATGGATCCAATAGCGTCTCAGAAGAAAAAGTTTCACACGTACTTTGGTCAATTCGGAAAAGTTACTAGCGTAAGTTATTGTTTGGTCAGAATTGGTACGGTTTTTTTTTCACTCAGTGACTATCCCGAAACGGTTGTGACCCATTTCCCCTATCCGATGCCTCGTCTCTAAACATTGTGATTTGTCTTTACATTTGTGGAGGAAAAGTACTGCGTGAGCCAAAAAGAAGGAGATTTCTTAAAATGCATGTAAAATAGCGATATTGAAACGATGTGCTATAGAAAAAGTTGTTCAGTGAGTCGAATGCTTCCCAAACAAACAAATTCAGCGAGAAAAAACTTCAATTTTTTCGAATCCCCCTATGGTGAAAAAATTGATTCGAAAAAATTTAAAAAATTTTTTCTCACTGAAATTGTGTTTTTCGGATTGCATTCGATTCACTGAACAACTTTTTCTTCAGCGGTATGGTCGTCTGAGACGAATTGCCTGCGGGTTCTCGACTCCGAATCCATATCGTTGAAACCTTAATCTTACGTTTAGAAGCCTTAATCCCTATCTTTTATATCTTCTTTATCTCATTAAAAACCTTAATCTCATGCTGTAAATCCTTAATCCCATCAAAAATCATTCTTTGGCATTCAAAACCATTTAATAGTTCCAAAAACTATTAAATAGTTTTGAAAACTATCGGATGATTTTCAAAAATATCCGATAGTTTGCTTGAATGTGGAAACTATCGGATAGTTTTGAAAATTATTCGATAGTTAATCCCGAGCTTAGAATACCTAATCCCGAGCTTAGAATCCGTATCCTATCCTATCTAAACTATCCGATAGTTTTTTTATATGTTTTGACATCACTGGTTTCGACTGAAAAGTTTAACTACCGTAAACTCTCTAATTTAACCCCCGGGGGTATAATTATTCAATCGACCTCTAGGGGGGGGGCAAAATTAGAGGGGGGTAAAAATAGAGGGGGGTAAAATTACGCGATCGAGGTTTGGCGCCGCGCCGGAGGCGCGGCGCGAAAATTTTTTGTGATTTTTGCTCAAATTTGCTCAATTTTTGCTCAAAAAATTCAAAATTTGAATTCCCGCCCAAAAAATTTTGAATTTTTTTCGAAATTTTTGCCATTTTTTACAAAATTTTGGCAAATTTTTGCAAAATTTGGGAAAATTTTGCAAAAAATGGTAAAAAATAGGTAAAAAATTCAAATTTTTGGCAAAAAATTTGAATTTGCGCCAAAAATTTGAATTTTTGGCATTTTTGGAAAAATTTGCATTTTGGGGGGGGCAAAATTAGAGGGGGGCATAATTACTCGATCGACCTCTAGGGGGGGCAGAATTAGAGGGGGTAAAACAAGAGGGGGGTTAAATTAGAGAGTTTACGGTATACTGAAATAACACAGTTTTAGACCAGAACTGCTCTGCCACTAACACACAATCCAATGCCAATGCTGATCCTGAAGATGTGGATACGTCCGAATATCTTGGAACTACTAAAATCCAAAAGAAACGAAAAATGAACAAACGGAAAGCAGTTTGGGAAAAAGTAAATGTCAGTGTGAGAAATGCATTTATCTGACCGAGAAATATTGAAACCTAAAATTCAATAATTAATTAAAGACGACATCCCTAAATACTAACTCGGGAGGTTCCCAAGGTGTGACACCGGTTCCTGTTGGCCGTCAATTTTGTTTTTGGATAACTTTTAAGGACATGCTCCACAAAGCTTAAGTTCGGGGTGTGGGAATGGTGTTCTGAGTTTTTTTCAAAAAAGGCAAATGGTCGAAAATCACGGATTTCTCAGGCAAAAAGGCGCCAATTCAAACCATATTTTTCGATTTTTAATGTTTTTGCAGCTTTTACTTCAGGATTTCTCTCTGTTTTTGTTGTTTATGTGTTGCTCAGTCATTGCACTTTATTTGTACAAATTTTCTGAACAAAATTGACATACATAACAGACAAATTGGAAGGTTTTTACTATACCAACCCTCGCAAAAAACACTCACCTGGTGAAGGAGGCAAAGAACGATCACCTGGGAAAACTTGATGGATAGGAATTTACCCCATCTTGTGGGCATTCGAATGGTACCAATCGTTTTGGCATATACGTTACGAAAAAAAAGTTAGCCTGATACGGAAAATTGGATTTTTACAAGGAAAATGCGAAAAAATCCGACTTCAGAGGCCGTTTTCGGGCGTTTTTGTCTATGAAAGTGGCAAAAATAATGTCATATTCGTGTTCCCCGCAACTTTTTGGGTAAGATAGCATTTTTTCAGAATTTTTTGAGAAAAAATTTTTTCACGTTTTTCAACCTGGTAGCAAAAAAACTAAAAAAAAATTTTTATCGAAAAATTATGAAAAAAATGCAATCTTATCTAAAAATTTTTATCCTCTGCTAATAAAAGGTCATAATTTGTATAAAAAACGACTGGTAGCTTTACCGATATTGTTTAATTACCACATACTATTCTAGAAAACCAGCTATTTTGGGAGCATATGGTCCGAATTCCAGGAAATTATTCAGAATAAAAGTAGGAAACCCTAGAAGCATCCAAGAATAATAGAAAATTATTTTGATTTCAATTTGGAAAATTTTGAAAATCTACAACATGTCTTCATTTAGGTTTCCTCGAGAAGCGGAAATGCAAAAATATCGTTTAACAATTGGGACTCAATGGCGAAATGTCTACAGCAAAGCAAGCACAACATATGCGGACAGGAGTTTCTTGTACGTAAAGAAATACCTACAAAAGATCTGGAAGAGGAGAAAATTCGTGCAAATCTGAGTCAGAAGAATCTTGGGGCGAATCTGGAGCAAAGTATGCCCGAGGCGTCACACGAGAATACGTCCGCTCCAAATGTTCAGAGTGATCCGCCAGCAGAGTCAAATCTCGGGAATCAACTGCCTCAGGCGACAGCATCAAGTTCATCACAGGTTCAGGGGAGCGTCATGGACTACGGTGCGATCGCCAGAGAATGGTCACAAAGGCGTGGCTTGGCAAGCTTCGACAAGCCAGGTTGTTGCTTTTTATTATTCTGACACAACAGCGCAGAATGCTTAGTGAAAAAATATCCCAAGAAATTTTAGAGAAAGCAAAGAACAATTGAAATAGAGAAGTTTTTGTACTCTTGGGTTACCAAATAATTTCCTCTGTTTGCTCTATAGGCATTTTAGTACCGTATAAAGGAAAAATTATGTATTGATTCTAATACTTGTCAGCTTTTTTATTTTTGGGATCCCATAGAATTGTAAAAATGTAAAAATTACCCTTTGCGCAATATGGTCCAAATGTAACGAAATTTTGGATTCTTATTTTTAGTGGAACATCTAAGTTTTTGAGTTTTTTTCGATAAATTATTGCTAATTGTATATTTTATGTATTACCGTAAATCCTCTAATAAGTCCCTAATAAGTCTCTAATAATCCCCCTAGACCCCCTACGAAACAATAAGTCCCCCGGGGGACTTATTGTTTCGTAGGGGGTCTAGGGGGGACTTATTTGAGGGGGAACTTAATTGAGGGGAGACTTATAATTTCGTGGCCGCGCCGAAGGCGCGGCGAAAATTTTTGGGACTTTTTGGCAAAATTTGGGAAAATTTTTGAAAATTTAAACCAATTTTGAATTGGCGCCGAAAAATGTTGGCCAAAAATTTGAGTTTTTTGGATTTTTGATCGACAATTTTTCGGCTATTTTTACCAACTTTTTCAATTTTTTGGGAAAATTTTGTAAAAATAGCAAAATTTGCAATAAAAATTCAAACATGCGCCAAAAAATTTGAAATGGCGCCAAAAATTTGAAATTTGGAAAAATACCCATTTTAGGGGGGACTTATTTGAGGGGGGACTTATTTTTTCGTTGGGGGTCTAGGGGGGACTTAATTGAGGGGGGACTTATTGGAGGATTTACGGTATATGTCCTGACGAAAACATTTTCAGGATACAAATAAAGCTCTTGGCCTTCAAAGTTCACTGCTCCATCGATTCCAATTGAGTACTTTAAAGACTTTGTTTCTTCTATGTCGACAATTAACCGTTATAGTTTTATGTTTTAATTATGTTGCATAGAACCATTTTGTTATGCCTTCGTTGCAATAAAATAGTACCGTATTCCTGTAATTACAGCCCGGGAGTGATAATTGTTCAAATAATATGTTTTTATTGTGTATTCGAAAGTGTCAATAATGAAGACTCCCACGGCGATGACATACGAATTTCACGCGGTGGTCCCAAAACAAAAGCTGCTTATAAGGATGAGGCACGAAACTTTTGCTTTGGCACTCCCGCGCAAGTGGCGAACCGTCGCACCGATTTCGATGATTTTATAGATGACGGATTTTATAAAAATGCAAATTCTATTTATTTCTCTGGTTGTAAACCACATTTGGACATGCCAACTTTTTTAACATTCGAGAAAAAAATGTTAGCAGAGGATGGTTTCAATCCAATCGACCTCTAGGTTATGGGCCCAGCACGCTACCATTGCGCCACACTGCTACTTGCACTCAAATGAACTAAATGTGATTCTAAATAAATATAAATTCAATTCAGAGCCTTATTTCTTTTGTTAAATAGATTTTGTATGTTCATTTGTTATATTTGGTGTTTTGTCGCAAATCATGCGTAGTTCACGCACGTGGGGAATCCCCCGGGGGATTGTGGAGGGGGAAGGGGATTTGCGTTCACGCAACGGGGGAATCCCCCGGCGGATCCCCCGGGGGTTGGTGTTCACGCAAGTGGGGAAATCGTCCCCGGGGGTTCCCCCGAGGGAACCCCCCGACCGTTCAAGTCGATTTGATTTTTCGGGGGGATCCCCCGGGGGATTGAAGCCAAAATAAACTTTGGAGCCGTTTTTCACTGTATTTTCACTATGTTGGCCATAAATTTGATGTTGGTGATTCTATCTCAACTTTTTCTCGAGATTTTGATGCATTCTTCAGAATTTCATAGTTTTTCGATTTTCGCAAGGAAAATGCTGTTTCTTCAAAAACACTCATGGTTTGTCTTAAAAGTGTATTTTTGTTGCATTTTTTGCTATGTTGGCCATAAATTTGACATTACTGACTATATCTCAACTTTTTCTTCCGATTTTGATGAAATAAACAGAATTTTCAAACTTTTCGATTAGATTCGTCAGTTTCTATTCATCAGTTTCTATTAGATTAGATTCGTCATACGATTTGCGTCACTGGATTCATACTGTTTGGCAGGGATGCCATTTGTTCTTATTTATAAGATTTGTTCTTATTTTTGGCCAATGTTCTTATTTTGTTCTTATTTCACGAAATATCCATTTCCGAATGTGAATTTTAGAAATACAACCAACTTTTGCTAAAAATTTTCGATCTCAATTTTCTTATGCTATTTTTTGTTCAGATATGGCTTTGACGCAAAACCAAAAGCTTTTGCTTTTGTTGTGGGCAAGAAAAAGACGACAACAGCGCCGCAATCCTCGCCGTTGGGGAATACATCCGATAAATCGACAGCGAGCTAAATTTGGAGAATATCATCACTTATTCCAGCAAATCAAGCACAATTCACAAAATTTAAGACACAAAATTTAAGATCAGCCGTGGCCGTCGAATTATCGAAAACGTGTTCGGCATCATGTGCGCGAAATGGAGAATTCTTCTAAAAAGCATCGAGACGAGCGATCGTGTCTCTGATCTGATAGTCAAAGCAATCTGCTGCCTGCACAATTTCCTAATCGACCAGAAGAGCTTGAATCCAGGAGCACTCGCGGACACTGGACTATCAAACGAGGACAACGGAGCTTGGAGAACTTGTGTGCCAGACCCGCTAAGATCTGCTCAAATCCGAAGCAAGAAAGCAAACCACTCGCGCAATAATGCATTAAAAGTTCAAAATGTTCTCATTGAGTATTTCAATAGCGCTGGAATTGTTGATTGGCAAGAAAACATGATTTAAATTGTTGCGTTTACTGAAATAAAAATTTTTGTATATAAGAACTTTGTATCAAAATCTGGAGAAAAAGTTGAGATAGAGTCAGTACAACAGATTTAAAACCAACATAGTGAAAACGAACACAAAACGATTGACTTTCATTTTTATGAATCAATCCCCTCCATAATCCCCCTCTGTGCGTGAACACCCAATCCCCCGGGGGATCCCCTCCCCTTTCCAGCCGGTTGCATGAACACTCAACCCCCGGGGGATCTCCTCCACAATCCCCCGGGGGATTCCCCACGTGCGTGAACCTAGTGTCAGAACTGAAATCTAGCCAATCCTCCCTAAAAACCACTGATAGTTTTAAATTTGAATTATTATATATTATTAATTTGAATTATTATCAAATGTATCGGTTGAATGTCTTTGAGGCGGGGATGGATTAGCCGAGCATGGATTGGAGGATGTGTTCCTTGTCACGCAAATAATTGAAGGGAAGAGAGATGGATTGAGAGGTTGTACAAACTTCTTCTGCCATTTATTCTTTAATTTTATAATATCCTTGCCACATCTGCTCCAAGCGTTTCGGGGACGAATCGAATTAGCCCTTCATTGCCGAGCGGTGGGTGAGCCCCGTATGCCCAACGACGATATTTTGCTGATTTTTTGGTATATGGGTAGATCTCGAGATTCTATTAGATGCGTATTTTTTTTGAAAACCCCCCAAAATTTTGCCAAAATCCATGATACTCCCTATGGTTTCGCAAATTTCAAAAAAATTTGAAAATTTTTAGATGTCTAAAAAACACTTTTTCTGGTCAATTTCGATGCGCTGAGCACGAATCTGAAGGTAGTTTAGTTCAAAAATTACTCCTAATTTGAGTATCCTTTCGGATACTCTCGGGAATGAAGGGTTAAACGAGGTGATTGCAAATTTTCGAAAAAAAGATAGAAACGTAGTACGATCTTATCATCAAATAACTACAAATTTTGTCTAGTTTTAAAAGATATATAACGTTTTTATTTGATCCAGACACCACACTTGCCCAAAATTAAAAAAAATTTCGAACTTTTTAGATGAGGTGATTGCAAACGGGCACCCCCCACTTACAGCCCAAACCCACTTACAGCCCGGACCCACTTACAGCCCGGACCCACTTACAGCCCGGTTGATGGGCTGTAACTGTCTTTGGGCTGTAAGTGTCCCATAGGGCGCCCTATGTCCCACTTACAGCCATGGAAAAATTTCAGGGCTGTAAGTGGGTCTAGGCTGTAAGTGTCCACGTTTTTTTCGGCTGTAAGTGTCTCATATGTCCCACTTACAGCCAAAAAGGCTGATTTTCGATCCGGTCCCACTTACAGCCCTGGCTGTAAGTGTCCCATAGGGCGGCCTATGTCCCACTTACAGCCCAAAACAGTTTTTACTTAAAATGAATGCTTATAGCTTTTTATCGAGCTTTTTTCGATCCTAAAACATTCTTCAAACATTTTTCTTGGATTTCCGCTTAAAAAGTGCCACTTTTTGGATAAAAATATGTGTTTATTTAATAAAAATCAGTTTTGGGCTGTAAGTGTCCCATAGGGCGCCCTATGTCCCACTTACAGCCCAAAACAGTTTTTTATTTAAAAGGAGTGTTTATAGCTTTTTATCAAGCTTTTTTCGATCCTAAAACAAGGCCGAGACCGATGAAAATTCATCTTAACCAGCTCAAAAACACTTAATCGGGCTCAAATCCAGCTTATTCCGGCTAAAATCCATCTTAATCCGGCATAAAGTCTGCTCAAATCCACCTTAATCGAGCCCGAATCCACATATTCCCACTCAACTGCTCATCAAATTTACTTAATATGAATCAAATCCAGCTTACTCAAACTTAATCCTACTCAAACTCAGATCAAATTCGCGTGATCCAGCACAAAACCAGCTCAAAACCACTTGATCAAATCGACTTAAACCTGCTGAAAACCAGCTAAATTCCGCTTAATCCCACTCAAAATCAGCTAAAATCCGCTTAATTCCAGTGAAAACCAGCTCAAATACATCATATTCTCGCTTAAAAACAGCTCAAATCCTCTTAATCACTCAAAACCAGCTAAAATCCGCTTAATTCCTGTGAAAGCCAGCTAAAATCTATCATAATCCCACTCATGGTGCGCTTACATAGGCCAAAAACGACCGAGACCCGACGTGCTCACATAGACACAAAAACAGGACCGAGACCGAGTCCAAGACCGAGACCAAGACCGAGTCCAAGACCGACGTGCTTACATAGACAGGACCGAGACCGAGTCCAAGACCGATTACAGCCCAACCCCACTTACAGCCGTGGACACTTACAGCCCGCTTTTTGGGCTGTAAGTGGGTTCGGGCTGTAAGTGGGGATTCCCCATGAAAATTTCTACACCTAATACATGTATTCCATCTCTTAAACAGAGATTTGTAGCGAATTTCTACCCTTAGGGTGGTCATTTCGTCCCTTAGGATCGTCCCTAGGTAAAAAATAATGTCAAATTCGAATTCAGCGGGGTCGAAAACCTATAAGGGTTACAAAATCCCAGCCGGAAAATAGTCGGGAAACGGTCAAAATAAACATTTTGGGTTTAGTCATTTTGGGCGCACCCTTGGAAATGCCGACGGTATACTTTAGTCATTTTCGGTTTAGTCATTTTGGCTTTAGTCATTTTGGCATAGTCATTTGGGGTTTAGTCATTTTGGGCGCACCACGTCTGTGATTGTAGGTCATTTTGTAGGTCTCAGAAAGTTGCTATACGAATCCGCAGAAGTTGGGGAGCGGCGATCTCGAAAATTGGCCTTTTTTGCCAAAAAGTGGCAAAAATGCATGTTTTTTGCCTCTGTATTTTCAAAGGGCATACTGAGCGGCGTAGCCGCTGTGGCGCTTCCCTAGTAAATAACTACGAGATAATGTCAATTTTTGAATATTTAATAATTCTTTATAATATATCATGTATGAAAATTCTCAGAAACGCTAAAAAATGTTATGTCTGTGATGACGTAGAACGATACGTGAGTAACTTCAATCTCGAAACAAACTGCTGCTTTTGAAATTTATGGATCTATGACAATAAACAAAGCACAAGTTGTCTTTAGCTAGCGGTTAACAAGAATATTTTCCAAAACGCCACATTTTTAAATCCAAACATATATACGTATTTGTTTGCAAAATACGATCCTGAATTAACTTATGGAAAATCTGAATTTTATATTATATTTAAAGCAAGCATGACAACGGACCGACCTTTTGCCCGGTCCGGTCCGGTCGACCCCCCGGTCCGGTCCGGTCCGGTTTGGTCCGGTTCGGTCTCTAAAAGGTCAAAATTTTTTCGCGGCGCTACCTTCGGTAGCGCCGAGATTTTTTCACAATTTTTTTTTGTAAAGGTGTTTTTAGGGTATTCCGATGCGCTGATTACGAATCTGCAGTTATTTTTTCCGTATCGCATCAAGAATTTTAATTTTTGGTCTAAAATTTTGGCCAAAATTTCGAGAAAATTGGTTAATATTTTGTGAAATTTTGGCCAAAATTTGCATTTTTCACCAATTGCAGATTTGTGATTAGTGCATCGAAGTAACC